ACACACACACACACACACACACACACACACACACACACACACACACACACACACACACACACACACACACACACACACACACACTCACATGCCAGGAGGACGATCGACTCGTGTGCCTTTTTTATGTCGTATGTCTTATTATATGTATATATATATTATACTCGCAGCCATTGTGTAGCATTGCGTGATTTATCCCCTTTGGTTACGCGCGCCATCTTTCTCCTCTTCTCTCTCCTCCGCCCTCGTTAAGGCTCGCGAGTCATTATCACTTACGAGATCTTTTTTTCTTTGTTGGAAAGCCTGTTTTCATTATAATGACAGACCATATCATTATCATGATGTAGTAACTTAGCATCTGTCTCATAATTATGAGCTGGAGAAAGCGTGAGAGTACCACGTTTTGTTTGCAACTAGGTCACGTGACCATCAACTTCCTGTCAGCTAAAAGAAGAAAATGGCGGACTTTGAAAAACACAATATTTTCAGAAGGCATCAGCATTTGTATGCATTTCGATGTCATTTCTAGCGAGAAGTATGCGTTATATTTTCATAATCTTCTATCAGGGAATGTAGCAGACCTCCCGTTTATTAGTTTCTAGTGACGTAGTTGCAAAGCGATGTAAGTGAATGTCATGATTTTGGGGATAAAGCGTGAGAATACCACGTTCCACAACGTAGCGATTACACGTTTTGCGGTGAGACTGGGTTGTTATGAGACATAACATTTAAAAAAAATAGCATATCGATTAAATTTAAATTTAATTGAAAGAAAAAATACATCAGTAATTGTATGAATTAAGTGAAATGCACAAACATCAGTGAACTTTTACTATTGAGCTGAATTTCACGGGAATGCACTGAATCAATGCACCGTTCCCTCTCTGTGCTTTGACTAAAGGGCGGCTCTCACCCGTAACCCCGGCCTCGCATTTAACACACAACGAACACAGCTTCCACTAAATTCCTGGGGGTCCTCATTGACGACTCTCTTAGCTTTAAATGTCATATCGAGTATCTTGTAAATAAATTGTCTAAGTATGTTGGCTTGTTTTATAAGATCAGACATTTTCTACCTCGGCCTGCACTTCTCACTTTATATAAAACTCTCTTCGAACCACACATAACTATTGCAATGTGATATGGTGTAACACTTTCACCAGCCATCTCAAAAAACGTATATCCTTGCAAAAGAAAGTCATACGAGATCAATTCCCCCACTAAACCTCTATTCCACCGTTTTGAGGTACTAAGACTAACTGAGCTAAACGCATCCCATAATGCTTGCCTTATGTTCCAAATTGTCAACGGACTGAACTCTAGATTGAGTCGTCTTGTTTCCATCACCAGCCCCCAGCACACATACCATACGAGAATCAAACCACGTATATCAGGAAAATGCCGCCGACATGTGCGTGCTGGTATGAGTGTGGTCTGTAGGGGGCCGCAAAACGGGATTGACGATGGCCTCAAGGTGTTGCCGGATATCTCCAACTTTAAAAGACAACTAAAACAATATTTCTTATCAACCTACATCTAATATAAAACTGTTTTTTCATGGACTACTGGGATGTATGATTGTATGTGTATGTAATGTTTTGTACTGGTGTGTCTGTCGTGAGCAACTAGTCATTATAATTTGTGGTAATTGTGTACTTTACAGTTTTGTGCTACCACTATGAATTGAATCATGGGCCCCCACCTATAAGCCTTTCTTTAGCTTCTTCGGGGGACCCATTCACCTTACCCAATTAATCTTGTACCTCCCCAGCTGTATTATGTTTCAAGTGGTATTGTGTGAATAAATAAAATTCATTCATTCATTCCTACTTCCCTTTAAGTAATAAGTAACTGCCGCGTTTTCATGAGAAGAAAGATTTGTTTTTAGTTTTTTCTCACCCTTTCCAGAGAGCGAAAAGCGAAGAGAAAGTGATGTGTTGGAGAGTATTGACCGCGACAGAGAAACAGCACCTCTCCACCCGTCTCCTGTCCGTCATCGCTCAAGTCAGAAGTCGGCATTAATCCACAGCTGTGTCGCTCTCAGCTGAAACGTATTCAAACACACGCCTTCAGCTCCTGAGAAAGAGAACAGAAAAACCAGAAGAAATGAGTCTTGTGTTTGACTGCATCAGGAACATTGATTACCAAGAGGAATTTGACTTGGCGGCTGGTGCATAACATCAGGCAGTAAGACGATGGACAACAAGAGAGATAAGACAACATAGTGCAAGAAAATGCCGTGTTAAATTGACAAATTGACAAATTTGACTTTACGGTATAAAATATAAGGCTATGGGCTATAAATAATCATATCAGCTTTCTATAAGGTTTTGAACATGTTTTTGCATAAAGGAGGAATGATTTTAGCAAGCACACACTTGTTTCAGTGTTACATCTAATTAGTTAACATTAAGCAGGAGCGACACTCATTGGATAACAAGATGCTCGGTGGAATCAAGTGAATGAAGTGTTAAGCCTCGACCGCCTGTTACAATATACCTCCATCCTGGTTGTGGCTCAACTAAATGCAAAGCAGGTGGTTTACTGTGAGCGCTTTTCCTCTTATGACAAACAGAATGGTCTGCTGGGAAAAGGGTCTCTTGCCCTTGATCCTAGTGAAAAAACATGCTTCGGGTAAAACGTTTTTTATTAGATTATTTATATTTCTTGGCTTTGTGCTGCACTGCTGTCATAATCTCAGAAGGATGCTCAATATCAAAATCCAAACACCACTCACTTCATTTAGGAGATTATGCGTCTACATCACAACGGTATTTTACACTAATTTTGTTCAAAAACGTACATTTCAGTACAGGAATTCAAAGTTGCATTCAGGCAAAAGCTTTACAACTAGCGCGTAGTGACATATGACGAATATAACTAGAATATAAAGAGGTCCAGTTAGAGAAGTTTTCAAGAAGCAACGGTCTGGGAAATCATAATGTAACAATTTAGTGTCATTTAATAGGGATTTAATAGGGACAGAGTTGTATCAATATCTGCATGTAATCAATCCACAACTATTGAATTCAATACAATTCAAAACTCTAAATATTTATTTTCGCGTAAATTACCAATCACTTAAAGCCAACGTGTCATAACATGCAACTGATCAAATGTCATCTGGTGAATACAGGTTTATTTTGTGAGGTATTTGGCAAACAACTTTTCAACTTGTGCATTTTCACTAGTTGTGATGATGTAAAATGCTGCAATATTGTCACAATGTGAAACTCTAGTCTTCTCTAAAGAGCAATTTGTGATTTGTTGTGTTGGAATTTCCAGGATGCAAATAAACAACCTCCAAAATAATGGGCAACCAATCAAAGCAACGCTACTTAATGCACTCATGTCGGAGAAAACGGCACCAACTAGAAGTCAGTGGTTGAATGTAACATTCAATTATTCAAGCACTTTTTTGCAGCTCAAACTTGGTCAATCTGCCGCTGTGACGTGACTTCTTACCTGTCTGCTTATTTTTGTTCCCCTCCGCTCAACCGTCCAGTGTGTCTCTTGCTGTTTTTCTTCTTCAAGGAGCCTCCAAAGGAAAGAGGCCAAAGTGGGTTTTTCCAGGTATGAAAATAACTTGAGGTTAATTACAATCGCATTGTGGTATGATGCGTAAGTATATGTTAGTACATCTGTCAGTTTGATAATAATAATTGTTGTTATAATCATATTATTTTCATTACATGTCATTTAGCTGACGTCTTTATCCAACTTACATTGCGTTTTTAACCCACGGTCATACATCTTGTTCAGGGAGCGATTAAGGGTCAGGTGTCTCGCTCGGGGACACTTTGACATGGGACATGGAGCAGTGACGTGGAGTCTCTGCTCCGTGCGTCACCGTCTCCCAAAGCGACTCATCATCCATACTTTAATCTGAATTGAATTTTAATAAAGTAGATAGATGGCAGAAGAAGAAAGGACACGTTATCCAAAATGTAAAGCAAGAATTCTCTGTGACGCTTGACAAGATCGCTGGAGGAGAGACTCAACTGGCTGCAGGGTGCAGAGAACATTGTTCCGTGCACCGATTGATATCGTGCTCCAATTCGGCCTTGAATCCCCTATCCTGCCGAATGACCGCAGACATGATGATTTGTTGTTTAAAACGAGTTGTTAGATATCATAAAAAGGTACAAACCTATGCATACAAATAAAAATCGGAGTGATCAATAGTAAGGATGTCGGTCCCCTTTTACGTTATGTTTCAGTGTAGGTCAAAGTAAATGTCATAGCATGCCTTGCCGTTCAATCAAAGAACTATGCTTTTAAGCGTTTGAAGCAGAACGAGAGCTCCGTGTTGTTCCCTGGAAAGATCTTAAGAACCGATTCTACAATCACATCTTGCCAAAAGAAACAAGCGTTCTTCATTTTCGTGTACGATTATAAGCAGCTGGGTAAGTGTTGTGTTATGAAAGTCCCAGATCCAGCTCTTAGTAAAGTGCAGTTACACAAGTAGAAATGTCAGATCAGCTGCTGGTGAGCTCTGCAAACTTAAGTCACTTTCATACATCGGCTCTCGTTATAACAGCAGCCGGATCGCCGTAATCTGGAATTTAAAAACCTGTTCAGAGCTGGCGGAGGACACATTTATTTCTTTAAACAAAGCCAGCCAGCAGCTCTTGTTTATTTGCCATTTTGCGTAATGAACACGCTTAGTATGTCATTGCTTTAACACTTATGACAAAATACTTGCTCGTGTTTGAAGCACTATGCAGGAATATTTTAAACAAATAAATTCACAATGTATGTGGTTTGTGGGTGGCTAAATTGAATTTTGAATTTTTGAATTTGAATTTCAGCCTTTTGGAGGTTAATGTTACTAACAGGATACTTGCTTAGTCTATTTAATCAGTTTTGGTCAAAACAGTTTGGATTTTAAATCATATCAAAGGCAAATTATGTGAACGCTTTGACATTAGAAATAAGTTTCAAACAGGAGAAATAAAAACCTCCCGTCCAAACGAGTCGATGATGAGTTGCTTTGAGCTCACTAAAACTGAAACCCTTTTATTAACAGAAAAACATTTAAAAAAGAACCAAATTTGCTTAGCAACAGGGAGCGGTCCCCACAACTAGAGCCACAAAATCTATTTGTTCTTTTTGGTTTCATTCTAGCTTCATTGGCCCTCACAAAGAACTCAAAAATCACGGTGTGTGCTCGGATGTGTGTGTGTGTGTGTGTGTGCGTGTGTTCACTGAGTCAAAGAGCAGTTGTCGTTGACAGCTGCACGGGAGCAGAGAGGGAAAGAGTCAAGCGGCTTCAAATAGCCGTCGTTCTCCTCATTCGTCGGGGGGACGCCTCCCTTCTCCCTCAGACGCCGCCAGTGAGAGGTTTGCATTTCTTTGTTGACACAGTCAGCGTGATGTTTCACGTCTAATGGCGGCTGCTCCAGTGAGAACGGTTCTCCATAAAAATCCCTCATCCGGTCTGCGGCAGGTAAATGGGCTCAGCCACGGCTGCTTGCAAGGTTTTTCAAAAGTGCGCTTAAACAAAAATCCCACCACATAAAAATATCTTTACAGTTTACACCTGACAGTGTCTTTGAAAGAAAGAAATGTTGAGGTACAACTGGTCTCATCCCTCCTGTGATACGACAAGCAGGTGTCCCCATTCGGCAGCGAGCGTATATACAGTTTAAACAATATTTAAATAAGGGCAAAAGTGATTGTCATATCCAGAATCGTACCTATGCATTAATCTGTTGTTATCCAACGGATTCATTGATAGTTTATTGTATAAAATGTCAAAAAAAGAGGGTGAACTTAAAACAGAGCGAAGCAGCAAACGTTGTGTTTGATCTAATTCAAATCAGTAAGATTATCTGTGTGCTCTATGGTACAAATCAATTAGTAGTCTGTGAACGTTTGCACGTTGCATTACAGGACAATAGTCCGATGTCACCTGCTCACAATGGTGTATGCATGCGGAATTATTTCCTTCTATGTGCTAAAAAACGTGCCCAGAGTTTGCACACCGTCCGTCATTTGGACACAGCCGTGGTTGTTTGCAGCTGTTGTTTCAAACACTTTGTGAAATCATTACTTAAATAACGTTTGTCATCGGTCAAAACTGTTTAATTTAACTTTTACAGTGCCACACAATGCTGAGCTTTTCGGTCGACATTGAACCAACGGACTCCGTGTAAACCAAAGCGTTTGGCCTCCTGCTCTCGCAGTCCCCCAAATCCCTGCTGTGCGGCCTCCTCGACACCAGCGCGGCCTTTTCCTCCAGCCACAACACTCCCAGTGTCTGTTGCCCAGTTGTCCCGGCGAGACAAGTCCTGCCAAGTCTTCAAGCGCTTGCCTTTGGGAGGTTGACAACACATGTTTCTGTCCGTCTGTCCCCAGACCTTTTCTTTTTTTTTCTTTTTTTCCATTAAAGGAATGTTGTCCCTGCACAAAGAGTCTTGTCTTTCTCCACATCCGTCAAGAGCAGATTCTCTGTCTCTCCACTTTTGTCTCCGCGCTCGTGTCTTTTTGCATCCACCCGGTGGGCGATCAGCTCAGCAGGGCTGCGCTGCCGCTGCACAGACCTCCGTGACACCGAGCTGCAAGTAGACCAGAAGCAGTTACGCCACAAAACTGTCAGTTTGTCTGTCAGTCGTCCCGTAACCTCAGCGTAGCGACAACAGGAGTGGAGGAAAGAGGCTAAAGCTGAAGTGGGTGAAGTGTAGGGGGGGAGGGAGGGGGTCGGGGGTCGGGGTAGAGTCTCAGCAGTCTCTAAAACCAATACAAGTCCTTGCTCTTGTCTTGTCCCTGCAGACCTGAGAGGGGAGGACAGAAAGGAGGAAAAGAAAAAAGGCAGTGGAAGGAAAGAAAAGGCAAGAGAGGGGAGATTAGAACGAGAAGCGCAAATATTCCCGTCGATGAAAGCGGGAGGAGCTGCCCCGAGGCAGAGAGGGGATGAAAGCAGGACGGCAACAGAGGAAAGGAAGTTTACAGCTGGTGTTAAAGTGCTGATTGAGCGTCAGTTTGTTGGTTCAAACCACTCGCGGTAAGTCGATCTGAGGGCACGTGGGGATCTTCATTTAAATCTTAAAAAATATGCTTTCAAGTTGCTTATTGCTGCTTCCATTGAAAAGCTGCAGGAACAATGCCTTTTCCTGCTGAATGCTGAGCGTTTAACAGACAGGTTTTGGCCCAAAACAAGCGGGACATTTGGAACGTTGAATTTGCAGCCAAATCTGGCTGTTATCAATGATGACAGGTGTCAGCTTGACTTTAGCGCAAGCGTTTGTAAAGCTTTGGGCCGCTTTCAGTGGCGGCGTTTCACATGTGTTGCAGATATAACGAGCTTCAATAATTCCAATGTTTCCACCACATTGTGCGGTTCGCCTGAGAATTGTACATGTGTACAAACGTTTGGTTACACTTCAATGTCACTGGCGTTTTTTTTAAATTTTGGGCTTTAAGTTTACATATCCCAAAAAAAGAACTAGTGGCAAAGAAAGTTGCGAGGAGGGAACTTGTGCTCTCCTGCACAAATGCGGTCATGTGAGCGCGAGGCTTCGATCAGGGAGAGCAGGTCAAGTTTACTTTTGATGTAATTTTGTAATGCTGACAGTTACTGACGCCTCGGCTCCTTTGAACGCACTCCACCAGTTGCCAATGGATACGTTCAGGTAACCATTAACATGAACAAGAATACATTCCTGTTCTGTCGCTTGACTTTCTAAGCTCCAATAAAATGCTGCATATCTTGTTGTTATTGTCCGTCAATTCAAGATTGACAGACAGACAATTCCACGTTGACACAACGTGGCCTAGTAGACAGCGCTGACTGAGCCCGGCTAAAAGCGCTTCAGACAAATAAGGATTTGGATAATTTTTCCAATATTTATCCAAAAGAAGAGGCATATGACCTCAAAAGATATGTTCATTGTCGTCTATTGCAGAGAAGAGGGATTTTAATAGGGAGGATAGTACTTCTTTCCATTTTTTCTACGCAGTTCATCTTCAAGCAACGAAAGTACCTGTGTCCATGTTGAGTCCAATCTCGGTTCCGGTGAAGGCGCCACTCCAGGCCGCTCCCGTCCCCGACTCCCCCTTCCCTCCCAGGTCACAGGGCGAGCTGCTGGGCCCCGGGACCGAGCTGCCGGACGCCAGGCGGTGATGAGGCCTCACCGACGGCACCAGCAGGGAGCTGTAACGGGGGTCGAACGCTGTGCCGTACATCTCGTGGACCCCCGGGCGCGGGTAGGCCGAGCCCTGGCCGCCTATCGAGCCCCCTAGGGAGTACGGATGGTGGTGGTGGTGGTGGTGGTGGTGGGACGGGTGCCAGGAGTCGGGGCTCGGCTGGTGGAGGTGGCTGTGCAAGGAGGCGGAGGAGTACGGGTCTCCGGGGAACGGAAGCTCCGCGTGCGGAGCCGACAGAGCGCCGCCCAATGCGGAGGAGACGGGCGGCTGATGGGAGCTGTTCCAGAAGGACGGAGGGAAACTTCTCTGGCTCATTGGGAATGGTCCATCTACGAGGACGGGAGGCCACACGGGGAACGTTATGAAGGAAGCACGTTCACTGAGGCTGAAGCTTCAGTCGACTTGCTGTTTTTTATGAAAAGCACCGACAACATTTAGTAACTCTTCCTCTTGATGTGACTTTTGGTGTGAACGGATGAAAAAAGAAGATTATAATAGTTGATTCCTCATTTTCAAGGCAACAATGTGAGTGACCCCTAATTTTCTGCTTTTCTCTTTTTGTCGTATCATTTTAAATGAATTATCTTGGGTATGTTGGTGGAAAGAATACGTACAATAAATAATGAATTTATTTATGGGTGGTAAAATAAACTACTTGCTACACCCCCAGAAATAGTTACCACAACTTTGAGGTTGTTATTTTGTAATATAATGTTATTATTTGTGATAGAAACACTGACACTTAAAGCAATATAAAAATACCAACAAATTCCCTGAAAATACTTTTTTTTTAAATACGGTTGTTGATTAAAATTGTTAAAATTCGTATCACATGTAACTTAGCACATGCAGCCGTCCAAATGATGGTAGTATATTTGCTATATGAGTTGTTTCCACCATCTCACTGATTTAACTTCCTATTTGACTTTAACATGAATTCAGAGCACAAGACAACTGCCGGCTCAGTAACAGCCGGGATAATAAACAAAAGCTATGGCAGCTGTTATACTTATAGATAGAATATAGTTTCCAGCCGATACATAATCTAACACTTCGAAAATAGAATTTAATTAACCACTTCTTTATGGGTAACCCTCAACTTTAACTCAATCCAACCTTTTGATTACATTTTAAAACAAATCTAAATGGTTTTATACAGAATTCTGGTTTGGGGGAGTTTTAATTTACACGAATAATGTAAAACTGCTTTGAGTTAATATTAAAACACACAGAAGAACAGAGCAAGATTAAAATCAACAGCTTCAACTCTGGAGTGCAACACCAACATCACTGCAGCTCCTCACATTGTCATTCAGATCAATACTGGAAACTCTTTATCTTTACAAGTAAATGTTGAGTCAGATGTTACCTGGTGGAAACCTACAAGACGCATTTAAAGCTACTGAAACCTGGGAGACGATATTGGCTTCAGCCTCAGTCCCACAATATCAAATGTGAAAAAAAATAATAAAACACACAATGACAAATTCATACCGCAAACACACTAGAATTTCTCAAAAACCATGAAAAGCATTTTAAGTGATTTGGTGAAACTGAATGTCCCGGTGATGGTCAAAAAACAGACACGCACACACACCCACAGACACACACACACACACACGCCCAGAGACACGCACCTCTCCCGGCCTTGTGGCTGCTCGAGTACACGGTTGTGTGGCTCAGGGCTCGGCTGAAGTGCTCGTCCACTACGGCGCTGATGTCTCCCTGGAAGTAAGTGAAAAGGACGCAGCGGGAGCTCAGGTACTCCGCTCCCGGGGGCAGCTCCTTGTCCTCCTCTTTGATGGCCGGGGGGCCCGAGGGGCCGAGCCGGCTCACGCTGTCCTGGGGGTCTTGCATTTTGGAATACAAGGCCAGTTTCTGAGAAGGACATGCAGATGCATATATGTGTGTGTGTCATGAAAGTGAGTTTCTTCGGGTGTCCTATTGTCACACTATCATTTTGGATAGATTTGCTGCCGGGCTTTTTATGGTTTGACCTCTAAATCAACACAAAAGATGAGGAATGGATTTGTTGCCACAAAACAGGTTATTATTTCAAAATGAACAGTGCTCCCATCTTTTAATTTACCACTATATCACTGTTTTAACTGCGGTTCACATATTCGATATCATGTAGAGTACAATCTCTTTCCGACTTCTCACCTCATTGCTTCTGCTCACAGTGACTGGAAAACTCTCTCCAAATGTTTTACTCCCTTTTACGTTTATGTTTCAGTAAGATGGAATAAAATAAAAAAGTTTAAAAAGGATATGATCATACAAAATGAGGGGTCATGAAAATCGTGCTAAAAAACCTGAAACCGATCCTGACTCAGTTTGGGCGACAGACAAGGTAAGTTTTGGCACTATGTGAAAAATGCCTGGATGTTGACTGAGAGATTTTAAGCGAGTGGGAAAAGCCCTTTAACTGTTTTAGAAAGGATTCACAAAATCTGCCTTCCTCGAACTGTTCTCAGTCTTTATGGATGAGGTCTGCTGAAATGTCACGTGAGGGGAAATAATTACGTGAACAGTTTATGTGGCGACTAATGCTGTGAATCAACGGACAAACCAGATCAATCATTGGGTTTAATCCTAAATTACGTTTTCAAATCATGCAACATCGTTACGCATCGATGGGAATAAGGTTTAAAGACGCCTGTTGTCCATTTATTGTATAAGTTATTTTGTTAAACCTCTGCGCAACTCTTCTAAAACTTGTCAGGGAACAATATGACGCACGGAACCCGTTAGTTTCGACTTGAAAACAGATCAACAGCGTTTGTTTCTTTATTTTCTTAAAAGTAAAAAATAAATACATCATTTTGTCTATACTTTCTCCTTTAAACCGCCGTAGAAGACTCGCAAAAGGAACTGGGAAGTTTTAGATTCGCTTTAATTATTAAGCTTTGCGCGCTGGATCTATTCTTTTTTGGAGACACCCAGTGTGTTTACGTTTTATAAATCATACATTGTTTCCAACGCTAATCCCTGCACGGCAACAGTATCCCGTCTGGCACAGAATTGCTTGAAATGAAATGACTGAAGTTAGAGTTTTCTTTCCATTATAACAGCGCGGAGATAAGAGCTATTCTAAAACTTGACATGATCCATACCTGGTGGTGATAAGGGCTGTAGGAGGTGAAATAAGGCTGAGGACCAAACACTTTGTACATCACATCCAGGCAGCTCATGGCGAAGAAATCACGTCGAAGAAGCAAGCTTCATTGAGAGAGCGCGTCGTGTTCAGCAGGAGAGGAAACGGTAATCCCGGCGACGGGGGTCTGTGCGCTGGAGAGGGTCTCTCTGCTGTGCTGCTCTGCGCTCTTACGCACTCGACTGCGGGGGGGGCGCACAGAGGGGGGACACCCCCCCCCCCCTTTACATCCTCCACTCTCCACACCCCCACCCTGTCGGCTCCCTCCCGCCAATCAGGGGTCAGAGCTCCACCTCTGCCTTAATGGGCTCTTAATTACGCAGCACGAACGCGCAGCATCCATAAAGCCGTTTGGCTCAGAAAGGTCGGTGGCTTACAAAGTGTTTCGTAATGTAGCATTTCTTTTTTACTTTGGCCAATTCCACCGGAATTCGGCTGCCTTTGTGTTTCTGTATAAATTATTGTGTTTCCGGATAAAACCAATGTCAGTGAATAAATTGATTTCAGGCGCTGGTCTCAGTTTACTTCTTAATTGACTCACTGAAGAGGTCACGTGTAATCTACTGCACATTCACGACAATCTCAGAGGTCCAATATTCCCAGTCGTTTGACACACTAAACTGTGTGTATTTGCCTTTAACTTTATCAAATATAACAAACGATAAATACCTGCTTTCAATTCTGGATTCATTTGATATCTTATTCATTTTCAAGGTCATTAGATACTTAAATACAGGTGACGGACAAATATGCTCTTGGCAGGAGATACATCAGAGCTCCTCGGAGCTATGGGTTCTTCCTCTTTTTTTGGAACATTATTTTGAAAGTTGTAAAATGTTACTGGATCCACGATGGGCAGTAAAATAAAGAGAGGCTGTTCATAAATGGTGACAAGTAGTCCGTTGCTGCTGATCATCAACACCACCACCCTGTTCCAAAGAGGTCCCCTCTCGAATAACAGAGGTCAGGATGACCAAACTGATATTTCCCCGTGAAGGAGAGCTATTGCAGCCGAAACGAAAAAACGTGAAAAGCCCTGAAGCTCTAGAGCTATAGTGCATGGTTTGCTGGCCGCCTGCTCCGTTGGAGGACCGACCCCTTAGATATGAACGTCTAATTCTCAAATAACGTAATTCCTTTCAGGTTATCAAACCGGAAAAAATAATATTCTACTTATTCTGTCTGCTACACACTTTTTCTTTAAGCTCTGAACGTATTGGGTGGACGTGGCGCAGCGGTAGAGAGGATGAGCTGGGAACTGCGCGGTTGGGGGTTTGAGCCCCCGGCTGCCCCATGTCGAAGTGTCCCTGAGCAAGACGCCTAACCCCTAATTGCTCCCCGGGCCTGTATTGCTTTTTATTGTGATCAATCTTTTCCATAATCACAAATCAACCCACTGCTGTGACATGAACAGAGCAGTGGCACAGGAGGAACTCGGATACTTTCCTCGAGTACAAGTGCGAGTGCATCATTGCAATAGTACTACAGTAACGGTAGTATTGACATCTAGAGAATGCATCGTTTTTCTCCCCTTTGACAGCACAGTTCAGAATCTAACAACTGGCACTCGTTACTAATTGAAATGAGTAAACAAATCCAGCCGACCAATGAGAGGAATGTGATGCCATCGAGTCCCACAATCCCTCAGTGGCCTCCCAAATTCTGGAGGTCAAAGGTCAAATAGTTTGCTCCCAGTTTGGTGCTATTACTTGCGGTCGGAGGTCACCGGCAGCTTACTCAACAATGATTATCAAGCCACAGTACAGGCAGTGGTGGACAGAATGTATGTCCGTTTTGTCCTACTTTATACTTCCACGTTATCACATCTCTGGCAGAATTATGGCACGTTTACTGCATTAGATTGCACATTTTTCATTTAATACGTGTTTTAATGAACTTTGGAAATGTGGACTTTTTGGAGTTCTTCAAATACAGTGCGGTTTGTCCCCGAAAAACTGGCATCGGGGAGAAAATATGGAAGAAATCCATCCAAGGAGCTTGAAGCATCCTTCCCCCAGGCTTTAGCTGTACATGTCGGCTGGATGTCAGGTGTACAGTAACTAAATTACATAGACATTGTGTTTAATTCATATTGCAGTTATTGATCTGTAATAACTAACATCCAATAACACACAAACTGTAATTCTAACACTAATCGGTATCAAACACATTATAAAGTCTACACTAGCGTGCTCCTCTGCTTAAACCCCCAAACATAGCTGTAAGATTAAACCATGTGTTTCTACAAACGTAACTTGAAGAGCCTTGAAGGCCAAACCCAACCAAAAAACAGTCATTATACGCAGATATTGTGAACAAAACATTACAAAACATTTTCATCATTTCTATCGTTTTTTTTTTTAAATGACAAGAATGTTCGGAAAACATTTTGCAACTTTGCAGGAACATCACAATAATGAGCAATAACTTTGGCCCGTGTGACAAATGTCTGTAACAGAGCAGTCGCCACGCGTTATGGATGAACATCACCGCGAGTGCACTTGCACATTAATATAACGTGTGAACAATCTGCTGTAGCCATTGGTGTCGTCGTGGCACTTGGCGGTCCACTTGGCTGACCCCTCCAACGACCAGCACACCTGTTCTCCGCCGCAAGTGGCACAGAGACGCTATAAAAACCCTAAATATCCGCCATTGAAGGGCAGTGCAGCTCATCTCCGCGGCACTATTCAACCATCGATCTGTTTGCACTGTGGACCTCAAACCGCCTCCTGTCGGATCAGCGAGTGTGACTGTTTCACATCTCCTCTCTGCTGCCATTCAGGGTTGATGGATTTCAGAGACGCTTACTGCAATAATCCCGTTTCAATGCGTGTTGAATTAATATTTTCTTGCAACAAACCAAAAAGGTTATTGTTATGATATATTATCAAATGGTCATTTGCGCCCATGAATACAATTGGCTGAATCAAACCCGATGTAAAATACTAGGATTGCACAATTAGTTGTCTATGGTTACGGCTGAAATGCAAAACAAATTAAAGAGCTGAAAAAGTGAAACAATTCAGTTGCTTTCGTGTTGTGGTCTATTCACCCAGCTAATAGTGCTTCCCTGATTCGGGTAAACTGTTTCGTCACGGCACCAGAGGGTTAAAAACCAATGAATTCTTATGCTTATACAGGTATATCGAGTCCTCCTCCAATTGCAATTTTGAGAGAATTGATCCACGGCCCTCGAGTTCACAAGTTGAATAGTTGCTTCTCTATCTACGTTGTTCAGTGATGATAAAAACTACATTTAACCGATAACTACGAGGGAAATGAGACAGTTGCTCATCGTAGCTCTACGTGGTTCCAATGCAACGTGTTTAGAAAAAGGATTTCATTCTTTGGCTTCTGTGTGGTACATGCAACCATTTGATGAAAGCCAATTAATTCTGTGACTTACATCCGTTTTACAACCGCAAAGAGGATTCCGAGTGCTCTTCGACACAGTATTAGCTGCTCAGGCCTGAGTGGAAAACTGACTTACGCTTAACAAATGTGCAAAAACTCACACACACAGTGGTCACATTGCAATGCGTTCAAAACCACATTCTTTTGGCTGATCCTTTTGTTATGTCTACCCAAAGAAAAGAGTACGCTTTCACTTTTGTCAACACTGGAGAGGAACAGCTCCCGTTAATTTGACTCTAGCTTTGAAATTTCAAAATTGAAAAGACCAAAGATTCCTGGGTGAGTTTGACCCCCTTTCTGTGCAACAAAGAGTTATTCCAACAACACTAAACAACTGGAAACATTCCGACATCCCTGTGAGGCCATAACACTCTCCACAAACCAGAGGTGAATGGTGGATGGATTCGGAAAGGTAAAGTTTGAGTTGGGGGCAAAACATTTGGGTTTTTTCTCAATATCCACGCAACATGATTTTTCTTGAAAACCGTATAAAAACACTCAACTCAATATTAATTTCTGGCACATTCCTTGATTGTCAGTCAGCTTTTAAAATCATCCCGCTGTGTTTGTCAGTGTTTGTCAGTGTGCACAGGCGCAGGCTGTCTATCTGACTGATAATGTACGGCGCTATCGGGCTGTGTTCTAACATCTTTTATGGCCTCTATTTACACTTTTTGGGGGAATGCGTATCTTACACTTGCAGTTTGTGAAGAAAGCAGCATTTTCATTGCCGGGTACTTGATGAAGGAAGGCGTCAGCCTCCCATAATTCCTTTTGAAAACTTTCTCTTTGATAAGACACCTTATTGTTTTCACACTGACGGGTTCTGTCAGAATGAGGGAGAACAGCAATGACAAACATAAACACAAAACACTGCTGAATTCAGTGCATGCTGCATGTTTTCATATACTGTGTTAGGTAATAATGACTTTACTAGAACATGATGAATACATTCAGATAAGGGTTCAGCTAAGTGTTAATCATATATTAAGTCTTAATAGCCATACTATATAGTATAGGCATACACATTGGAAGGGCTGAGCAGATGTGTGTAATTGTTAAAGTGCATCCTGTTGGAGCCCATTCGTCCTTCTCCATTTGCCTTTTCCCCTCTTGATGGAGGAGTGTGCAGGTTTTGTTTGGCCAAATGATGAGGAAGACCTGAACATGACCCTCTATTTCTCACTAGTCTTCCAATGTCCCACCAAGGACAGTGCTCTGTGTGTGTGTGTGTGTGTGTGTGTGTGTGTGTGTGTGTGTGTGTGTGTGTGTGTGTGTGTGTGTGTGTGTATTTGAGAGCATGTCTCATCATCCGTTGTGCAATTCGATGTTTCTAAATCCCTGTTTGTGTGCACATGCATGGACAGTGTTGGCAAAGATTTACTGCTAAATGGTGTCCACTTGACAGCTTGTATTTCATCCAGTATAAACAATAAAGCACACGCATGCATGCACATACAAAGAAAGATGCAAAAATGTGATCCATTTAAAATGCAATTCGTCTTAATATACTATGGACATCTACCGCTATCTACAAACAATACACGTAAAAAGGGAGAGAAGTAATATTAGCAGAAAAATAAAAAATAAAATACATTATAATAATATAAAATGCTCACCCTATTACAATAATCACAGGCTCTCCAAATATCACAAAAGGGAGAAACAGCAAGACTCATTTTTCAATTTGTGGAAAAAACATTAGAGGAAGTTGAATTCAGTTGTGATTAAACTTTCAACTCATCATCTGTCAAATCTCTAATAG